ATACCCTCCGTCCCCAGGCCCTGCTTCCCTCAGAGGCTCAATTCACCTTCGTGCAGGGTTTCATACCAGCTACCTTCTGTCTTGGTCAGGATGCATATAGATCTCAACAGGACTCAGAGAAAATCTTCGATGGTTCAGCTGCAGGCTCCCTGCAAGACTGTGAGGAGGGACCACCTTGGGCTTCCTGCCTGCACCCATCAAACGGGGCTATAACCCTTGCTTGAGCTCCATTGACTGAGACACGTACCAGCAAGGGAACAAGAACTCTTTACTGCTAAATTTCAGTGCAACATGGCCAGGACGCTGTGCTGAGTCAGTGGTGGGCCAGTGGGAACCAGGGCCAGGCCGGAGCTGCCACCGCACCACATGCAGGAGGGAGCCTTGCTGGTGGTGCTGCCATTGCGCCTCTCACCAAACAGCAACAGCTTTCTGGGCCTCTCTGTTTGCCTTCACAAAAGACGGAGGTGTCACGGTTTTATTTCCTGTGGTGTGCGTCACTCGCCTCATCAGAGTGGGTCAGCCACCAGGAGCTTTGCTGAGAGTGAATGAAGGCATGAGGCCACAGGCTCAGGCAGAGGGCGAGCAGGTAGGGAATAGCTGCTCCTCCTCACCGTCCTCCTGTTACCGTGATCCTTCTCCCCACAAAGGCTCCTTTGTAAGGACAGCAAAGGCCCAGAAGAAGAAAAGGGGAGAGGGTTTCCCCTCCCTCCCGCTTTTGGAGGGATAACCTACCTCGGCTGTTACGAGATCTCTTTTCTGTCGAGTTGCATTAAACTCATTTCTGGAAGAAAACAAAAAGGATCTTGTATAATCAAAGGTCTCTGGAGAAACCTGAATAAGCAGCTCCCCAGAGAGAAGAGTTTCTCTCTGATTACCATCACTTTATCAAAGAGGTCTTTCTTGGGTTAACATTTAAAAAGGTGATTTTTTTTCTTTTTTTCTTTTTTTGTTTCATGGTCTCATTTTACAGAATTGGGCAGCACTCCGATCTCTGCTTGGGCACAGAGGTACCTGGAACTTGTGGGGGAGACGTAAATAAGCAAAATAGGCTTACATGACAGGATATAAAATTGCAGAGTGGCTTCGTATTTACTTGACTCCATGTGTGAGTGGCTGCAAGTTCCCCCAAGTGTTATTTGAATATACTGTGGTGGTAGTTTTAATAGCCAGAGATGACTCTCCAGCTGTAGCTGACTTAAATTTGTGATTAAGTGTAGAAACAAGAGCATCAAACTATAAAACATACTTAGTTTTATCAACAGTCCAAGATGGCATATGATTTGACGTCCGTGTGTGTTCACTAGATGTACATAGTCATCAGACATCTGAAGCTATGTCTGACTGTATCCTTCCATTGAAATTGATGGCATAGTTCCCATTTAATTCAATGGGATCAGGAACATTCCCTAATTTGGGTTTTGTTTGGATTTCAGCTTCTACACGAAAACTTGCACTGAAAATGTTTATTTTAAGGCTGTATAGCACTTACTTTTCTGTGCCTCAAAAAGCAGTTAGGATTTTATCATGCAATTAAAACTGCAGAAGAATACCCATTTAATGTATTTTTCCAGTCGTGAAATGATGATCTCATCCTGGTTCCATTCCATTATTCCTCTAAGCTTTCTCGAGACCATAGATGTATCATTTTTCATAAGGACTTCCATTTTTCAAACAGAAGACCCATGCTGTTTATGTAAGTTCTTTGAGAAGTGTTGTAAACACACTGAAAGTGTGTTTTACATCTAATGTACATGTACATGACATTTTACATGTCAAATTCAAGGCTATATTTTACTTTCTAACTCGCACTGCGTCACACTTACACATTCTTGTTCTGCTTGTAGGACTTGACAAATAAGGAATAAAAACTTACCTTGAAGTTCTTCTCAAAAGAGAAAGCTTGCAATAAGATCCTGTAGATTAAAAAGTCATCAAGTTAAACATTTTTTTCTACAGCCTCACTCTGCACTTGGCAAACAAAAGTTTGCCAAGTTTAAAACAGCAGTATTGAATTTTGTTCTTTAATGATCCTAAGTTTTCCAGAGCATCCTTACATGAACTTTCTCTGTTCTCAAGGGATCTAGCACTGCATGCTTTCCCTCCTGAGAGTTTGATTCTCTCAAGTACTCAACACCTGCAAATTTCCAAGGTCTCAACTCTGGTACATGCTACCATCAAAAAGAGCAAACAATTCATAGTTCTTCAGAGGCTCAGACCGAAACTGATAAAACACAAGAGGTGCTCAGAGCTTTCCAGAATCAAACCTCTAGGGTGGTTACCTATAATAATTTTCCGAATGTTACTTGTAAAACTCAATTGTAACCCATTTAAAATGCTCTAGATACCATGCTTTAAAAAGAAAACCCACACCAAAACAAACAGCAAACAAACCCAACTCTCCTATCTCATGTTGCCTTAGAAATCTTTGTAATTATTGCAATAAAACTATCTACAAGGTCCATTTGCAATACATAGAAAATAGGATCATTTCCATAACCAGAAGAGCGATTATTTACCCTAGCATTTTAAAAATGCTTAAACAAACTGCAGGTGCACTCTGATCAAACAAAATCATACCCCACTGAAAATCATTATCATATAAAATCATAGAATGGTTTGGGTTCTCTGCTTATTCATCTGGCAAGAAAGCCAAGAAACTTAAATTTCATTCCCAAATACTTATTTTGTAATAAATTCAGACATAAAATTGTATCCTTTTTTTTTAAAAAAAGCTATATTTTAGTTTCTACGCTTGTCAGAGAGAATAGTGATATATAGTTTTTTAACCTGTGTTAATTTTTTTTGTTTATGAAATCCAGCAAGTGTAAAAAAAATTGCTTTATAATGATAGAAAAAGAAGTATCCATATTATTAAAATATTTAGAAAAAATCTTTTTAAAAGGTAGCATTC